AGTCAACAAACGGACGAGAGTCATACTGTTCGAGTATACAACTCAATTATTAGGTATAACAGAAAACAGGAATAAAACAAATATTGTACACTAAACCAGCTACTATATTACTTACAATATTAAATTGATTGTAACGAGAAAGACTAAAAATAAAATATTGTTTAGAACAAAATAAAGACGACAGAGACTTATTAAATATAATCAAAAACATATTATGTAGGTATTATAAGAAACCATTAGGAGGTTAGCAGAAGAGCTTCAAAATACAATTTTCGTTTTATTATTATATTTGAAAATATTGGTTAAAACGGTTTAGAATCTCTAGAGGACGTTATAAACGCATGTATTTTCTCCGTCTTACAAGTGCGTAATATAGCACATTTTACTCTGGACGGATCACTTTTAGCACCATTAGTTTAAAAGTTAGAATGAATTAACTTCTCATAACATTTAAGGGTAAGGTTATTATTGAGGACCCCAAGTAGGCTTATTTAGATATCATTATTTTGAGATAAGTTATTGCCTTTTCTGAAACTGTACATTTTAAGATGATCATAACTTACTTAAAAATAATAAATAATAATATCAATAAAAAGCTAATTAGGGCCTAATAATCTTACCTTTAAATGTTATAAGAGGCCAATTCACTCTAATTTTTAAACTAAAGGGGCTAAACGTGATCTTCTGAGTGTACATTTGTATATGTTACCATTGTTACCCATTTGTAAGACGGAGACAACATATGCGGGTATTACGTCCTCTTCATTGAGCAATTATTTTAAAACGATTTAAAGACAAAAATTCACTACAATCAATGGAACATAATAATAATTTATGAATACATTTTAATGTATCACTTAGTAGTGATAGTTTAAGGAAATTAAAAATATTATTGTAAGAGCCACTTGGAGGTCTATGGATATGAAATTTAAATTAAACAAAATTAAAAAAAAATTAACGTAAAAAAGTAACAGATTTTACCAAAGTGAAGATGTGCTATTTATTCAGATGAGAAGAATGTATTTTAAGTTGGAACGAACAAGAGAAAAACAGAATTTTTAAGGGAAGAGATTCAATGAATGAACCACAAGTGCGCTTAATAAAGCCCAAATTACCAAATACTCTACACCAGGGATCACCAATTAACATTTTTAAAGGGCCACTTTAGGATTTCAGAAAGTTTTCGGGGGCTATCAAAATGTAATTCATATGTTTATTCAATTAAACTAAAGTTAAAACTAAAAAATTAAATTATAACTATTGAAATGCTCGTTAATTCACCATAAAAAAAAAAAATGTATTTTCGGATAAAGTTCATCCAAAGGTTCCGTCATTTGGTGATCCCTGATCTACCCCGTATAATATATACCATACCAGCTACCTACGTAGGTTAGGTTGAAATGTTTAAAATGTACTAATTATTTATGGCCTCCACAATTCCAGGTTTGCATCTATTTCGTCTATGACATAATATTTTGAGGTTTTTTATTGTTTTCTTGCTCCTCATCTGTTATTCAATTCATACGATATAATAAGCATGACACACTATAATAATATATTTTAAGGATTCAAGACGATTGCTATAGCACGTTCTGCTGTAGTTGGTGTTTGATGGCACGTGTCAATTGTGCGTTATTATCTCGTTGTAGATATCGTAAAAAAAAATTCTCTTCAAATCCACACTAGTTTACAAACTGAAAGTTTCATTTAGAATAATATTCAGTCATAATGCGTGTGTCGTACAAGTTCTAGTTGTAAGTAATTAAGTGGCTTGTGAGTTCTAGTTTTGTTCTCTGATCCTCCATTCGTATATAATATAGCATATAATAAAACTAAAATAAAAACGTTTAAACCGTCATTATTGTACGTCGTGTTATTATTTATTAAAAATCTTCTTTTCTTTATTCTTTAAAAATAAAAATATTTTTGTCCCGTTTAGACTCCAAGTGACTGCAGTACAAAGTATATCGTGGAGATTCATCAGTACAATTACTTAGTGTAATATAATTGGTTATTTGATGTTCACTTTCATATTTTGCAGAATATAATTACTTTTTTGCTGTTGTAAATAACTCGAAAAAGGCTTTCAAAATATTGTACTTAAAATATCATTAGTCGTGAATAATTAATATTGTTGATGACTATTAACAAAAGTGAATTACACGCCCTCCTCCCCAGAGCAGTGCAACTCAATGATGCTTAGAGTAGGTCACATTGGTCAACATCTCAGTAGATATGTAATGTACCACCGCGGTAAATGTGTGGTTGATTGGGCGTAAGTTACATGTAGAATCGTGTAGACTGTAACACTGCAGTAGAAAATAATAAAATCTACTGACATTGTTACAAAAGAATGATGTTCTTGAACGGTTGACACGTTATTTATTGCTAAACAATTTTCACTTAAACTCACGTTTTTTTTTTAATTTTCATATTTTCAACGGTAAAATATATTGAATATTTGTAGATATGCAGTAAATCATTATTACTTATATTGTAAACTTAAAATACTGTACGATAATGTTAAAATAAGTTTGTGGTTTCGATATGAATATTTAATTATAATAAACAATAGCAAATAGATGTGTAGATAAAATAAAAAAACAGAATAATGGAAGGGTGGATTGTAAAAAAGCTGTTCGTACCTAATGTTATTTATTTATAAAACTTAAAATTCATTCTGAAATCAATGATATAGCTTTAAATATTAGATGTGTATCGTACATCGTTTACATTAGCATAATAAGTGATTTTTTTAAAAATAGAAGCCCCGAAAGGTCAAAAATAATTTTAAATCTTGTTTTTAAGCAGTATAATCCAAAAGTATACGTATATAAATAATACTTAAAACATTTTCAAAAAAAAATAAAACTATGTTAATTAGAATATTATGTTCAGCTGAAAAAGGTTAAAAGATGGTTGATGAATGTTGGAATTTCAATATATATATATATATATTTATATATTCCATACCTAAAACAGGGAAATAATAACTTTAAATAAATTATCTAAAATTTAAATAGAAATTATACATTTAATGTTTTTATACTTATTGTAGAGTATAAGGAAGGCGGAGGGTAATAAGTTTTCAAATAATAGTTTTTTCAAGGTTTTTTTTATTGGTCCTCAGAAAAATGTTTATAAGTTTGATACAGCTAAATTGGAAATTCAACTTAGGTTATATTTTAGAAATATTAGTTGTAGGATTTCAAATTTTAAAAATCACAAACATTTTCAAATTAAATTTGTTTTCATGAACCGTAAGTACTTACCAACTGTCAAATAATCAATATTATTATCTATACTAGACAATTATATGAATTGCACATTATAATTATTGAAATGTTCAGGTAGTTGATGACATTTGCAAAGAAAAAATATACCTATGCATTTGTTAAAAAAAAAGAAGCCTTGGAAGAAATTGATTTATTTCCAATGTAGTATTCATTGTTTATTCATCTTCGGTTCATTGTGACACGTTTTAACTTTTACACTTGTAAAAAAAGCGTTTCATGCACTCAAAATGTATAAATGTAATGAAATAATTGTACACACAAAGTTACTGGACCATATTAGATATTGTAAGTACAGTTGTAGTTGTAGTAATGGAATAATAGTAATACAAAAATGTAGGTAGGTACTTAAATATTTAAAAATATCTTATATTTTAATAAAATATTTCTGAAATCCTTTATTCTTACATATGGAGGGAATTATATTTCAAGTTGTTCCATATACCTAAATGAATAAAGTAAATAGGATTTGAAAGTGATTTGGCCTGAGTGGTTTTACGACTTTGTGTTACATGCTGTATTACATTAGTGAGATGTAACGAGGACCTTCGTTGTCATCCATACATACCCATTTGAAGACTTATTTATTTTTTATTGTCGTTTTGGGATTTTGGTCGCTCGTCAGTGATTATTCTTCCATGAAATCTGCTTTAGAGCTTAAATGGGAATTTTCAATTATATTTAAGATAATTTTTAATGGTATCTTGAGGATATTGAGTATTATTTTAGTATATAACATTTGTGTCCAATTATAAAAATTGTTCTACTAAATTGCAAGATCGATTAATCGTCATCTGAAATTGTTAGAAATAGAATGAATGCAATATCACCCGTGAAATAGTTTTTAATTTCATAATATATTACGTGTCCATAAAAAATTCCATACCTATTCATTTTATTAATTTGTTTGAAGGAAATCTGCAAGTTCCATAAATTAAGTAATAAATCAGCCGATCATCAATTTTTTATTTTCAAATAGAGGACGATTGATAGATTCATTTCACTCATGTTTTTTTTTTTTGCAAAAAGAGGGCAAGCAAGTAAGGGCTAAGAATATATTTTTGAATTTGTAATCTTTGATATTGTGGTTTTTATTCGTCGAGTATCCTGAATTTTTTAAGTTTAATAAACTATTAATGTAATATTGTAACATTAGTTATATACTTATACATGTACCTATTTTAATAATATTAGTTCTACTCGTATGAACTATGATAAAATAAAAATGTAAAATTATAGCACACCATAATAATAATAATAATATAGTACTATTAATATAAGTTAGTTGATAGGTATACTTATATTTAAATTAGAATACTATAAAACTACTTTTATTATGATAGTTAATACTTAATATTAGTATCAACAATTTTAGTATAGTAAATCATAATGAAGAATGCTTTAAGTTGAGTAATAATATTATTTTCTGATTTGTATTTAACCATTGTAATATTTTATGCACACATAGTTAAGACTTTAATTAATAAATTCTCAGAACATTATATTACTGTTATAGATCATGAATAAGAAACGTTCAGTTTTATATCATTTTATTCAAAATTAATTTTGATTGAATAATTAATGTTTAATTATGTCTTAGCAAAAAAATTAATTTCATTTTTAATAGTTCTGATTTTCATACCTTGTAAATTTGTAATGATGTTGATAAAAAAATAAATCATTTTTTTGTTTTATGTTTTTCTAGGTTAGGTTTTTTATGCTTTTGGTTTCATTCAAAAAGTTTAAATGTACCTACATTTGACTTCAGCATAAATCTGTATTTACTTCAAATGAATAAAGGTTTAAAAATACACATACGTTAAAAAATCTTAGGCTCCTACTGTACAGACGTACAGTTTACATTGAAATTTAACACAGGACGGAAGCATAACTTCTTATTAATTTGGTAAGTTTTTGTTTATGTGATAAAAGTTTTGAAATAAAGGTTTGCCTTTTTTAGTTCTTTTAAATGTTGTTTTTATATATGTTCATGAAACTAAAAATTAGTTTTATATGACCCATGTTGGTTTGTTTTATGATGAATGTTCAAGGTGATATAATTAATACACGTTAAATAGTCGTATATTATATCATTATACGAGATCATAATGTAAAATTAAACAAAAATAAAAATAGGTGATTAAAATATGATATGTATTATTATTTTAATTTGTATGACTATTTTGAAATTTTGTTTTCGTTTTGAACTTTTGAATCAATGTTCTTCAGTGTTTGGGAAATTACTTACTTTTTACCCAAATTAATTTACATTAAAAATTACCTTTTTAAATTATAATTAAATTCTCAAGTTACTTTTTTCGTTATTTGGTTATAAAATTATAAGAAGTAACAAAGAAGAAAAACGTCATTGCAATTAAAGTTACTTTTATTTTTAAAATTATTACTTGTTTTTAATAGTTATGTTGTTAATACAATAACTAAGTAGGTACTTATCTATAAAAACTCATGAATAATGATAATCAACAATATGAGATTGTATACAATTTTTATTAAAGAACCAAAGAAGATAATAATTGTTCAACATATAATCCTTTATTTTAGATTCTGAAAGGAGCCATGCATGTATCTATAGATTTTACAATGATGGGTTTTTTTGTGACTCTCATCTCCAAGCGAAACAGAATAAATTGTTCAATTTTCATCTTTGAGGATGGCTTCTGATAGAAAATTGGATCATGTTCAAAAGTAATAAATTTTTAGTACTGGTCAAAATAATATTTGAATGCATTTGAAATTTTTTTTTTCATTTAATGCATGTTATAATATTTGTATTTGTGTAAAAAGGTTGAAAAAATTTTACAAATTTCCATATAAGTTGCCGATACACCAATTAAAAATAATAAATACATCACAGTCGCCATTTATTTTTGTAGGTATGAGTTTAAGTTTGAATTTTGATAAGAAGCATTTATTGCATTTATTGTAAGTAATACATACTAGTATTTTAGTATTTTTTGCTCAGCTAATACCAATGTTGCAGCCCAGGCTAAGTATAAATTATACATAAAAAAAAGCTTTAGCGTATTTAATATTTGTATGCATACATAAATATATTCATGAAACTATTCAACTTCAAATATTTTCAATGTAGTTATGAATTTAAAAATATAAAATATCTGAAAATATAAATAATACTACGATTTAAAATAAAATGTTATACCTATAAGTATAGGTACTATTAATTATTTAATTATTTGAATTATTTATTTACGTAATAATTTGTAATAATATCACATTCCTTATTGTAGAAGTTGTATGTATATGCGTACAACTTGGTCGATAATTTTATGTACATAATATTATAATAATATAGTAGAATATACTTTCCAAAAGTGGACTATCCCTTTGTAGTGAATAATACGTTGATAGTGTTTAACTATTCTCAATAACAAACGGTTTTCGTGGACCCATCAGTGGGAATATTAATATATATTTTCATAATACGGTTTACTTCTAAAAACAGTCCCATTAAAAATAATCACTTTTTTTCAAACCGTTTAAAATCCAACAAAAAATAACATTACTTCGGGTAATCATACAGTTATCTTAACGACTTTGTGCATGCCACACGATGCCCATTTGGACCGTTTATTGTTCATTGCCTCTTAGTATTTATAAAGCTATCTCTATACATACAAAATTTGTTAAATTTACCTATAAAAATATAATCTTCCCACAGATTACTGTTATAAATGTTATCATGATAAAATTAAAATAAAGTGTATATTATAAAGTTAGTTAATATTAAAAAACAAATGTGTGTTTGTTTTTATCACTCTCGAGAATGAATTTTTTCTTGGTTCTCTAGAGTATATTAATACCTAGGTATTTTCATTTAACGAGTATATTTAAGAGTACCTAGGTAACACAAGTATCAAGTTTTTTTTCATACTTTAAGATATATTATTATTAGAGATTCGTTTAAAACAATGTTTTTGGTGAAATTTATCGACACGTATGTCATAAATATTCTTTTTTGAGACTCCATAAATAAGGTTTATTAGTGGTAGAGCCATTGTTATAAGTTGTTCTTGACACAATTTTAGCAATATTAAAAATTTACCTAAAGGTTTTCACCTTTATTGATCTCCTGTATGATCGTTTTTTGTATATATATCATTAATGAATAAAGTATATAAAGATGTGTCTACTTATAATGTATTATTAGTCGTTTGTTCATATTTAAAAAAAAATTAAATGACCATTTAGAGCATAGTAAATTATTTTAAAATAAAAATTCCTATGATATATTGAGTTTAAATTGATGTTTTAAATTTAAATTTATTATCTATACCGGTTTAATTTTTATAACAATACAGTATTACTATAACTCATTATTTACTTATGAATAGTAAAATCTATGTGTATAGGTTTTTTATATTTAACTTTATACTATTTTACTATGGTTTCCTTAAAATATTTGAATAATACATCTATGTCATATACTTAGTATTAATATAGGATTATACAGTAAAGAACCCTAATATAAATAGTGCAACTTAGTGTAGTTTAACATCCAAATTAGTATGTGATATTTCCAATTTATTTAGAAAGAGTAGTTTTTGCATTAATCTAATATTTAGAAATTTTTTTGTACTGCAATTTTTTTTTGTTCTCAAACAAACTCTAAACAAATCCAAGTCATTAATACCAATTAATCCTGGAAGTTTGAAGTGGAGAATTATCGTTGCTAATTAATATTTATGGTAAACCTCCTAAAATAGTTTTTAGTCTATTACATAGTATTATAACTGAAAATTTTATATTTGAACTCTCGAGTAAATGACAAACTTTGAAGTTTTAATAATATTATAATCTACGTCATAGGAAAAGGCTTTTGAACATTTGCGTTTAACTATAGATAACTGTACAACATTGTAAAATGATTAATAAATTAGTGGTTAGGTACTGTTAAAAGTAAGCTGTAGACCAGTGGTTTCAAAATGTTTTCCATCACAGCTCATTATTATTAGTTATTTTAAGTTTGGGTACATATTGGATAAACATTATCTACTTTTGAAAATAAGTACTTTAGGATTGAGAAACACATGTTAAATTTAGAAAGCATCTTTCAGATTTCTAAGACATGTATTTGAATGTATTGATGGAGTGATTTTACTTATTTTTTGATTTTTCAGAAAAATAAACGAACATTTTTATGCAAGTGTTGCTGGCATACGTACTATACAACAATAGTGATGAAATACACACATTTTACTTAATAATAAATAATTTAATTTAATTTATATTATTATTATTTTATTAAATTTTCACACATCTCGTTTTATAAGATATGGTTATGTTTTAACTTTTGAAGATGAACTTACTTTTTACTTGCAAGGAAACATTTACTATATAATCGTACTTATCACTTTTATTGATCGTTTAGGTCATAACTCATCACTTGTAGCAATATATTTTTATTATTTTGCAATAGTTATTAAAAATGTTTTTCAAAATGAAATGTTATACAATTGCAATGTATATTTACAATACGGTATACAGAAAACGGGTTCTTTGAAATATTGAATGTCATTGGCATTTTTTTATTTTTGGTAAAAGAACATCGAACGTGCACAACGATGGGTATAAACGTCCGCAAACACCACATGACGTAATTTATGTAAATTCTATACTAATGTTAAAAAAAAGTAGAAAAAAGAGATTGAATATAAATTTGCTATAAATATAATATTACAGAGTACGAAGGGAAGGACGTATATGTGAAAACGTTTCTTTCTGTAATGTGTGTATATATATATATTTATACTATATATTACATATATGTATTCAAAAACCATAATTTGCATGAACTTTGTTTACTGGTAAAAAACTCACATTGCTCTATATCCATAACGGAACATTAAATCAGTGATTTAATTTTTAATATTTTTTTTACACGAGAGCGAAAAAAAAAATATTTTTTGTTATATTGTTTATTGTGGTTGATCTAAAATAACAAAATTATTTATGGGCAATCATTATTTCAAACTGAAAAAAGCTTATAAAAAATAATAACAATTCAAATCTAAAATAATACTTTACCAGTAAAGACCTAATATAGTTTTTATTTTATTTTAAGTATCTAGACATTTACACATTGATTAGCTATTAAACATAATAATTACTTTATTTTAGAAATAGTCCTTACAGTAGTAGCAACGTCGCACATTATTTTTAAGAAGTTTGATTTTGAAAATTTAAAAGGAGTATAATTTAAGAATTTCGAATAATATATTAAAATACTAATTGAAATGTTCAGAGTAACTTATTAGTGTCCCCACATCAGTTCTGTTTATTGTTGTTGAGTTATTATGAAATTATCAATGAATGGTTTCTCGCGGGAAAGAACCGGGAAGGCTTGCAGTTATTGATTGCAAAAACATATTCTGACAAAAATAAAAGATAACTTTAACTGCCCAATATCGATTTTATTGTTTTGGTATCACATTTGCGAAAAAGTTATTCAAGTTTAAAAAACATATAAAAATAATGGATTTAAAAAAAAAAACTTTTTTTTGTATTAGCAATATTGAAAAAAATAAAAGCGATATTACAAGGCCATAATTCTTTTTATTTTTATAGTGAAAATTTGGGTTTTTAACAAACCCAATGGTTAAGTTTGTTCTTGACTAAGGTAAATAATTTTCAACAAGCTATATATTTTATTAAAGTGACAAAGTGATGTCTTCATAAGCAATGAATACAATTGATATTGTATGGGATTCAATAACAATCNCGTACTTACATAGTAAACACGTATATGTTGTTAATAACGCAATAATAGAACCTATACTTTTTTTCATTCTGATAAAACGTATGTCGCATAATACTCAGCCACTAAGGCGTATAAAAATATATAATAATAGTGATCCACGGTAACACGTACGTTCGATTCACTTTATATTTTTACCTATTTTTTTCTTTCTCATCCGTCTTTTGTTTATTTCTCGTAGTAAAAATTATTTCTTAATAAATTATTGTCGTTTCGATGAAAAGTGTTTGGTACTCTTATGGTAATATTAGTCACGAGCCTGTTTCATAATAACATTTTTAATGAATCCTAAAATCTATTCAGGGTGATTTGCCAAGCATGCTCATTATACATTTTTACTGTGGTATTGAAAATTCTGATTTTTAAAATTTTTCTTTGATATCTATTTAAATATCATGTTTTCAAATTCTTAAGATTTTATGTAGCTATTTCATACTTAAGCAGGGTCATGTATTGGTACGAACTTATGTTATTCAAATCAGAACCTTTGTCTTACTATACATTTTTTAGAGTATAATTCGTATGATTATTTTAATGTAGGTGCAGAGTTCAACATTTGGACGATTAGTTTCTCAGAAGTTATTAAAATGTTTATGCCAATGATAATAGTCCTTAAAAAATTTTACTGCTATTGACTTTGATGTGGTTCATCGAAATACTGCGGAATAGTATTCATTTAAATCAACACAAGTCAAATTCTAAGAATATTTTGTTCAGTATTATATAAATATTTATAATTAAAAATTATAAGATAAATACACAGGAAAAATATGGAGTTTTATGAAAATCAGTTAATATGTAATTTGATCGCTATTTACGTTGCATCAACTTCAAAACTTTTTTAAACATTATAAATTATAAATTACGATGCATTTGTGCGTTGTTCACCAAACAGATGGTCAATATTATACTTATATTGCTGTGTAATACATAATGTTTTCATCGTCTTGAATATTAAATATTAATATCACGAAAAACTCGTGATATAATTATACTATTTTAGAATATTGTTGGTATCTCCTTTTGGCTTTTGTTAAAATATGTTTTCCATGCATAAACCTAATTAAACAATAATATTATTATTACAGTTGCGACGTTGCTATTATTTAAATTGTTTCATTGTCAGCTTTACTATTAGTAATTGTCATTCACTTCAAACGTTGTTTGTCTGTGGTTATTAATTTTAACGTAATATTAGAAGTGGGTTCCTCCCGTTTGCATTTCAATATATAAATTATTTCTACCCAAGTACAATTATTAAGGTTGACTATAACTATCAACACGTCATGTTCTGGTTTCTGTGTAGTAGGTACTTATCTTCGTCCTACACAACATATCTATTTTTTGTGAACTACTGGTAAAAAACTCACATTGCTCTATATCCATAACGGAACATTAAATCAGCGATTTAATTTTTAATATTTTTTTTACACGACAGCTAAAAAAAAATATTTTTTGTTATATTGTTTATTGTGGTTGATCTAAGATAACAAAATTATTTATGGGCAATCATTATTTCAAACTGAAAAAAGCTTATAAAAAATAATAACAATTCAAATCTAAAATAATAATTTACCAGTAAAGACCTAATATAGTTTTTATTTTATTTTAAGTATCTAGACATTAACACATCGATTAGCTATTAAACATAATAATTACTTTATTTTAGAAATAGTCCTTACCGTAGTAGAAACGTCGTACATTATTTTTAAGAAGTTTGATTTTGAAAATTTCAAAGGAATATAATTTAAGAATTTCGAATAATATATTAAAGTACTAATTGAAATGTTCAAAGTAACTTATTAGTGTCCCCACATCAGTTCTGTTTATTGTTGTTGAGTAATTATGAAATTATCAATGAATGGTTTCGCGCGGGAAAGAACCGGGAAGGCTTGCAGTTATTGATTGCAAAAACATATTCTCACAAAAATAAAAGATAACTTTAACTGCCCAATATCGATTTTATTGTTTTGGAATCACATTTGCGAAAAAGTTATTCAAGTTTAAAAAACATATACAAATAATGGATTTTAAAACAAAAACTTCTTTTTGTATCAGCAATATTAAAAAAAAAAAAGCGATATTACAAGGCCATAATTCTTTTTATTTTTATAGTGAAAATTTGGGTTTTTAACAAACCCAATGGTTAAGTTTGTTCTTGACTAAGGTAAATAATTTTTCAACAAGCTATATATTTTATTAAAGTGACAAAGTGATGTCTTCATAAGCAATGAATACAATTGATATTGTATGGGATTCAATAACAATCATTGAGTTTTAAACTCAAGAAAACGCTCCACAGCTAAACGGACATTTGTTGTATCCGTCTTATAGACACCGTGCATGTGACGGCGCACAGCGCTGTGTAGTGGACAATGCATGCATTCGTTAGGGGTACCATTATAATAGGAATACCATAATTTAATTCTTTACGATCTGTAACCTTATATGACAAATTTTTAAGTAACATTTTAACCAAACATGTTTAAATATTCATGTAAGTAACAAAATAATGAAAATAAAATAAACATTGAACTTAATATACTAAAAAACTTAATATTCATGTATAAAATAAGATAAATAGATAGGTCCAAACCTACCAACATTTAAAACAAAACAAAATAATTATAACAAGGAACATTTTAATTTCTTTATAAGATGATATAGGTTCGTAGTTCTTGAACACATAATAGTTTAACAATAAATTTTTAAATATAAGTTTATAATAATAATTATATAAAAGGAACATATTTATTTCTTTATGAGATAAAAAAAGGTTCTTTTTGAACACATTAAATAGTTTAACAATAGGTTCATTAACTGTTCTGCATTTAGAATAAAATTAAATTGAGTATATAATATAATAGACTGTTGGTAACTTATTTTTTACAGTTATCACAGATATAGTTTTTCCAGTTTTCAACATTACCACATAATTCATGCAACCAATTTTCACAAGTTGTGCATTTGATCCATATTTCTCTATTTGTGTTTGTTGTGTATAACTCACTACAATATAAGCACTGCACATCAACATCATTTTTGGAACATGTGGCATGTTTTTTCAAAGTTTTTTTAGTATGGCAAACAGTTTTATTTTCAAAAAGACTTCTTTTGACCGGTTTAAGACATTGTGAATTTTCCAGCTCATTTTTATAAGGGCTGGCTGTTATTATTGCAGTTTTTCCTCTTCTACTGTTACTTGACCTAGAACTTCTAGCAGGAATTTTTGGAATAGGTTGAATCATTTCTGGAGATACATTAAAAGTATTGGTATTTATAATGGTAATATTATCTTGTGACACATCAATATTTACAGAATCATTCAATGGAATATTATATGATGTACTAGTTTCTGGTGCAATATTATAATTAGGTGTTACCATTTCAATTTGATGTGCAGCTACAACATGTCCTGTTG